TGTTGCAAGCGAATATGAACTCTTTCTTTCTGATAGGGAAGGACAGTGAAAAATGCTCCCCAGGCCGATAGCTACCCACCACGTATCTGAGGACACGTTAATGTGCTCTAGGAAAGATACCATGTGCGGCACAGTGGCTGCAAACAGAACTACCACTTGGTTGATTTCGCTGTAGTCCATGGTCACCTTCCAGGATCCCTTTGATTTGTGCAGGGACCGGACTGGTGAGTGGAACAGAGATAATGAGATCACCGTCCCTGCACCCTTCAGGTCTTCAAGGATGGCATTAATCCTTGCCATTCCCCACTTATTAGTAAGGTCGAGCATCTTCTAATATGTTTATTGGCTTATTTCCTTTTCTTTGAATTCCCATAATTCATAATCATTTGTCTGTCTCTTTCATTAGACTGAGCTTCTTGGGGCCAGAGACAATGTCCCATTTATCCCCGTGACCCGTGGACCTGGCTCGTAAGAGCTCAACAAATATGCACTGAATGAACATTTTAACAGGATGAACAAGCAGCATTTGATTGGACATCCTGAGCTCCTTGGATCTTGAAACTAAGCTCCTTAGCTGATGGGTAAGCCTGTCCCTGACAGCAATTTTATCATTTTGGTTGATTTAAAAGAAAACACAATGTCATCCAATCAAACCATCTCTCTTTTGAAACCAAGGCAGTGTCACCGACCTAATCGAAGCTCCCAAAGCCTTGTTTTCTGGATGGACTCCCTTTGATAGCAATAATGGGCAGTAACAAGCTGAGCCCCCGCCCCATCTGGCTGTGATAAACACATCCAAAACACATTACAAATCTCAGAGTGAAGCTCTGGGGCCTGAGGCTGCAGCAAAAGAAAACCAAGGTTGACAAGCACAAGTTTAAGAACCTGATATTCTATAAATGAAAAAAGGCCAGCTGCCTATTCCTTCACCACTGAACAAAGTAAATGCATTATCTGAGCTTCCTGCCATTTTTCAAACCTGGGACTCTCTAATGATATCCGTTTGGTCAACTCTAAACTTCATTTGTCAAAAAAAAAAAAAAGGAAGATCTCTGGTTGATTGAATCTCAAGTGTATCTTTCCTTTGCCTTAAATTTTTGGATTTAATTTTTTTTAATTTTTCTTAAATATGCTTACGTAGGAACATTTTTTATCTTCGTAAAACACACATCTTATTAAGTCCCTCACCTCCTCAAAAACTTCTCATGCCTCCCATCATCTGAAGGCCAACATCCAACTCCTGCACAAGGCCTCCGAGGTGCTGGCTACTTCCCCCCCCCCCATTCTTAAGAACTTTCTACTCCCACCACACATTACTTGCCTCTACTGAAACAAGCCACGCCCTTTACCCCTGACAGTGCTCCCTCTGTGAAGAGCTCCTACCTATCTTTTGAGAGTTAGTTCAAACGTTAACTCTCCGTGAAGACTCTCCTTCCCCTAGAATGGTGTTAATCATTCCTCTTCCCAGTTTCTCAACACGTTAGATAAATATCTACAGTAAATACCTTCTATCTTATACTATAATTATTTACCTATGTGTCTGTCTCCCCACCAGACTAAGAGCTCCCCGAGGGTAGAAATTGTATCTCATATGTTTCCCCAGGGCCAGTGCAGTCCTGGGCACACAGCAGATGGGCACCATTTGTTTGCTCAGTGAATGAATGAAAAGACCCAGTCCCTACCCAGGGGCCCAGAACCTCCAATCTAACCACAAGGAAAGGACCAATAAGCTAGTGGAGTGGACTTTAATGGTGCTTAATTTCCCAATTTCCTCTAGCAACTGAACACACCAAGACATATTCATGCCTAGACTTACAGGTAACTCAGAGGTCCTAGGAACCTCTCTTAGCCCAGTTCAGGATCAGGAGCTGACCCTTTCACTGTGAACAGGCTGGAGCCCAGAGGTGCTTCTTCGTGGGTGGGTAAGCTTACGTGGGAGTCTGTGAGCCTCCTTCCCTTTGGCAAGCACTCAGAATAGCTCCATTAACGTGCATGGAAATTCTGCACATGCATCAAGGAGAAAACAGCCACAAATAACACAGCCTGTTTTCCAAATCTCCAAAGCACATCTCTGCCATCATTTCACTTTCTAACTATCACCGCTGAAGCCTTTCAGCCAGACAGCAATTTGTTTTCAACTTACTCTGGGTTCCTAAGTTAGCAGAACTCTTTGGATGTTTATAAATGAAGCTTCCTCCTTCCTGTCCCTCTCCCTACTCCAGGCTTCTCTTCCACACAGCCTGGGAATAAGAAACTAACCAGTTCCTGCTTGCAATCAGTCCAGACTCCTTCACTTTGTCCTCAAGACCCTTCAGATTTGTCCTGGTCCTTACCTTTCTCTCCAGCCTCATCTCCAGGTACTCTCCTGCGGACGTCCTCCACCCCAGCCATCCCAATCACCTCCCAGCTATCACAGTTCTGGGGCTTGCCATACACCTCAACCACCCAATTACCTATTTCTGCCCTTTCAGACTGCACACAGGTTATCACCTCCTCCAGGAAGCATTCCCCGATTGGATTAGCTGCCTTCTCTGTATGTCTACAACTAGTCATTCAACTATTCAATAAATAGTTATGAAGACCTCGCTTGTGCCAGGCTCTGTTCTAGGTTCTGGACACACGGCAGGAACAAAACAAAGACTCTGCTATCAAGAAGCTTAAATTCTTGGGCGCCTGGGTGGCTCAGTTGGTTGAGTGACTGCCTTCGGCTCGGGTCATGATCCTGGAGTCTCGGGATTGAGTCCCGCGTTGGGCTCCCTGCTCGGCGGGGAGTCTGTTTCTCCCTCTGACCCTCTTCCCTCTCGTGCTATCTCTCATTCTCTCCCTCTCAAATAAATAAAATCTTAAAAAAAAAAGAAGCTTAAATTCTTAAAGGAGGTGGTGGTGATAGGCAATGAAGAAATAATGAACTGTGTCAAATGGAGAATAAATACTCTGAAGAAAAATAAAGCAGGGTAGAGTATTAACTAATGAGTGGGAGGGACGGCTGTTTTATTTAGGGTAGTCAGCAAAGGCCTATCTGATAAGGCAAACAGCAACCTGAATCGAGGGAAGACAGGAACATGCAGATATCCACAGAAAGAGCACTGTGATCGGGGGAAGAGTTAAGTGCAAAGGCCACAAAGCAGGAACTTGTCTGGTGTGTGTTGTTTGGAAGTAAGGGAGCCAGTGGGACCATACAGGTGTGAGAAAGGGAGAGAATTTTAGGAAATGAGGTCAAAGAGGCAGCCAGGAGCCAGATCATGTCGGGCCTTGTAGGACATGGTAAGGGATTAGGATTTTGCTCTGAGATGGAAGGCACTAGAAGGTTTTGAGCAGAGAAAAGCTAGGATTTGTTTTACATTTTAAGAGGTTTGTTCCAGCTACTGTGTTGATACTAGATGATAAGGGGAACAAGGGTGGAGGCAAAAAAGGCACAGACACATGGATATCCATTAATTCCACAGATATGTACTGGGTACTGCTATGGGACAAGCACTCAGCTAAGGACTGAAAGTACCCAGATGAGTAAGACAGGATTTCTGAATTTTTACAGGATTTCTGAGGGAAGTTACAATCGAGTGGGGATAGAATCAAGAGCGTAACCACAGAACATGTGGGTATGTATAGAACAGTATACAGGGTATTACGGTAGGGACAGGGGAGGGAATTAGGTAGACAGTAGCATCCCAGAGAGAGAAAACAACACGTAAAAAGGCTCAGAGTGGGGGGTGACACGATGGGCTTTCCAGTTTCGATATGTCACTCTGTCTCTAGCACAGAGAAGTCAGTTTGAAGACGTTAAGACTGGAGGCAGAAGGACCAGTTAGGAGGCCACGTGGTCATCTGGACAAGAGAGGATAAAGTCCTGAAGTTGTACTAGAGATGGAGAAGAGACAAGAGATTCTAGATCTATGTGAGAAGTGAAACCATAAGGACTTGGTTGGGTGGTGGGGGGGGGGAGGCAATGAAAAGCCTAGGCTGACCCCCAGGTTTTTAGCTAAAGTGCCAGTATTACCAAGTGAAAGAAGAGAGGTCACATTTGAGATGCCCCTGAGAACACTAGGAGACATTGTCTGAAACTCAGGGAACAGGAATAGGCTGAAGATACAGACTGGAGTGTCATCGGCATGTACGCGATGCCTAAGAGCATGAATGGATGAAATCAACCAGGAAGACTGTATACGTCAAATAGACGAGTTTTAAATGGTAAAGCTGCCACTCACCATCTGTGTGACTCTGTGAGCCTCACCCTCCTCATCTTTATTTTTTTTTTAAGATTTTATTTATTTATTCATGAGAGACAGAGGGGGAGAGAGAGAGAGAGAGAGAGAGAGAGAGAGAGAAGCAGAGGGAGCAAGGAGCAGGGAGCCCGATGCAGGACTTGATCCCAGGACTCTGGGATCATGACCTGAGCCGAAGGCAGACGCTTAAGCATCTGAGCCACCCAGGCGCCCTCACCTTCCTCATCTTTAATTAGGTATTAGTATTATTAATTTTTTAAATGTCTCCCACAGTGCTGAGCACATAGTTAAGTGCTCAATTATTATTCTAGCTCCAAGAGTTATGAGCAGTGGGGAACCCAACAAGACACTCTGCTTGGTGAGCCTCGGGGTCTCAGTAAGTAGGTGTTAAATAAATGAAGAAGTCTAAAAAACTGAAATAATACTTACGAATACAACAGATGAGAAGGGTAAACTGGATTATTAAAACACGACATAAAGATCAATGTCAATGCTAATAAATCATCTTAGGAAAGCTATCGAACACTTAGAAAGCAGATGACGTTAGGCCCCTCCCTTTTGTCCTTGCTTTTTAACTTAGCCCCTCTATTTTTTTTTTAATTCCCCCATTCTATTGGCTCCGCCTTTTCAGATTATAAACATGCTCTAGTCTCCCCTAACCTAAAAAGCCTTCCTTGGGTCTTGCTATCGCCCTCAAACTCTTGTCCAATCATTATTTTCACCAACTATCCCCTTTCTCAACCCTGAACACTTTTCAATGAACAGGCCACACCTTTTGTTTTAGGAAAAAAAAAAGTCCCAGTTTATTATTACTTTAAAAGAGCAAATACCATTTACGTAATTGTTCAAGCAGGCCTACAAGTGGCATTTCATTTTAGAATATAGACATAATTGTTTTTCTACTATGGTAATTCAGTTCAAGAGAAATTTCATCATGTATCTTCTACAGAGCCCTAAACCAAGAGCCAGCGTATTCAAATAAACCTCAAGGTGTGGGGAGGCTTCAGGCCAGCTCCTCATTAGAAGCCTCAGCATGGGGGCTCCGGAGACCACTGCAGAAGGTCTTCCAGGGAGAGCTGCAATGTTCAGATAAGTGAGTTCTGGAAAGAAGGGGTAGTTGGCTGGCTCCAGCAGGCTCACCCCTGGGGTAGAGCAAAGAGAACAGACAGGGGAGTTCTGACAGGCACCGGAGCTGTCTAAACTCAGGGGGACGGGACTGAGCGAGCAGCCGTGGTAATTGAGTTTCAGTTACCTGCAGGGTGGCGAAATCAAGCAGTCACTTCATCTGCCTGACATGGGGGAGTTCAGAGGTGTCCTTGGCACACTCCCAGTGAAATCCGTCACCCTTTCACCGGGCTGGGTGACGGCAACCGTGCCGCGCTTCCTGGTGCCAGCCAGCCCTGTCCTGTGCGGCGCGTGAGCGCGCTACACCTGACGCAGCCTCTCCCGCAGGCCCGGCGCCCAGGGCTCCCCGCATCCTCAGTCTGAGGGAACGGCGCCAGGGGAAAACTCGGCACCACCAGCGGCAGCCGTCACCCAAACTCAAAAGAGTCTTTGAATGGCAGAGAGACAGGCCCATTCTGCTTTCTGCCCAGCCCAGCGCTGGACCCATCCTCGGGTCATTTTTTGTGGTTCTGTACAAACGTGCCGACTGGCAGCGAGCCGTTCTTCACCTGAGCCCGGATTTCAGCTCGATGCTTTAATGTGAAGACCAGGGCTCTCACCGTCCGCCGGTATGGCCCGTTAATGAGGCGGGAACAGAGATGAAACGTTTCCCGCTCAATATTTTCAACCAGTAGGTGATCCATCTAAAAAAACAGCAAAATTATCAAATTAGGGCCTTGCATTGCATAAGGATTAAAAGCAAGAGAGGCTGGAGCACTCCGCTCAGAGGCCTCCATTAATCAACTGAAATTCAAGGACATCTACTTCCTGTCACAAGAGAAACAGGAAGAGCAAATTAATTCCACCCTAGCAATTAAGGAACAAGGCCATGTGCTTTGTGACAGGGACCTCATTCACAACCCCTGCCGGGTGGTAATATTTGCCATTATAACAGGAAACTGGCCTGAACTAAGCAACGGGTACTGGGCCCTGTACTTTACCAACCAGGAAACCAAGCCCAAGGGTAATAAATCAGTGTAACAGTTTATACTTTTTTTGGTTTCTAGAGTGCCTTTTAACCCCTTACAGCATTTCAGACACACAGGGTTTGGGTCTTGGTATGTGTGTAGAGCAGCTTATAAATCACTTTTCATATTTAATGCTCACAACTCCTGTTACCTCATTTTCTAGATGAGGAAATAGGTTCAAGGGTAAAGAAAGGTCCAAGGTCTTACAACTAAGACTCTGACCTGGCGCCCCGGACCCCAAAGTTCATGTTCCTCTCCTTTCACCGTACTAACTGACCCCTTACATTCGGAGGGACCAGTTGAGTCTCAAGAGACCTCCGCAGGGCCAGCTGAGCAGAGCAGGCCTGTGGGATGGGACCTGCAGCAGTTCTGGGGTGGTCCGGCTCAGGCCCAAGCCCTCCTCAAGTCACAGACCTCATCAAAGCAGCACAGGTGTAGGTCTTTTGCGCACGGTCAGGATCCAGGCCAGACTGCGCTCCTGGTCAGGCAGGCCCCCCTCACTACCCTCCTTTCCAGGCCCATCTCCCACTACTGGTCTTGCCTGCCAGTCCTGACCACAGCCCAGCCTGAGCAAGTGAAGGTACTCCGACATACCGCTGGGCTGCTGCCCACGTACATGCTCCCTCAGCAAGGTCCACTTTTCCCAGGAAACATATTCCTATTTGCACGTCAAAGCTGAGCTAAAAACGAAAAAGCAAAAAAAGCAAATCCTAGCTCAAAGAACTGAAAATTCTTCCTTGGGTGGCCACAATGTCCTAAGCTTCCCTTAAACATTTTCATAATATATTATAGTGATCTATTTTCTGTGTTTGTCTTCCCTGATAGTGAGTTCCTTGAAAACAGGAAACAAATTTCTCTTTTTTACTTGCTTTTTTCCCTTCCCTCCTTACCACGCCACTGATTCAAATACTTATTCTGCACTTACTATGTGCCAGGCGCTGTGTGTGGGCTGAGGAAAAAGCAGTGAACAAGGCCGACAGTCCTTGACTCCATGGAGAGTACAACCCCGCTGGAGAAAGGTAGAGAACAGGATTCTAAGTGTACTGAGTACTAGGAAAGGGGACAGGAATAAGTGCTGGGGTACAGAGCTATGGCATAGTGCCCCATCCCAGGAGGGCAGCACCTGGCTTCAGGAGGGAATGATGTTCGATCCGAGACCTCTCTGGCCAGGTGAAGGGCGTTTGCTTTGTGAGAAATTCACTGAGCTCTATGTATATCTTCTGTGCACTTTCCTACATATGTACTATACTTCTATTTAAAAGAAAAGTTTAAGAAAAAGTGTACCAAAAAGAAAAAAGGAACGCCCGATATTTGATAAAATGTCCTCACATAAGACCAACAGACCAACAGACCAAAACAAATAGAAAAAGGAACTCGGAAGAAAGAAGGACCGGGCAGAATATAGAACAGGACTGAGAGAGAGAAAGAGAATGACAGGGAGAAGGACTATCTAGGCCCAGACATCTGCCTACGTGTAGCAGACAAAAGATGTTCAGGGAAGTCTATGATCCTGATGACTGACCATCTCCGAGACTTGTGCTGGAGAAGTGCACTTGGCACCATGGTTCTTCAGAACCCAGATTCCTCAAGCTTTTCATGGACTCCTGGGTAGGCACCAAAGTAGCCCCCCAACCTGAGGCAACCCTGGTACCAGACTACTTTAGTAGGAGGCAGGAAGGGCGGCTAGCTGTCGGCCCACCGTCCAGCAATGCTGCCAGAGAGGCCCCTCATCCCAGGGGGAGGATGGTCAGTCACTGACTGTTCAGATACACTTAATGTAACAGACAAGAGGAAGTCTTCATTTTTCTTTTTCTTTTTTTTTTTTTTTTGAGGACAGTGGTTGTAGGGGGAGAAGGGTATGTGTGCATTTGCAAAAATACGTCATGGCAATTCTGTCAAACTGTAGTCTGTATGTAAAAAGAACTTTGAGAAAGCCTTGGAATTCACAAAACTGAATATCATCCATACCTCATTCAGCAAATAGCTACTGAGTGGCTACTCTGAGTCTGGCCTGATGCGGGTATTGGAGACCCTGAGCAGAAAGGACCTGACCCCTGCCCTCCAGAAACTCACAGTCAAGAGAGAAGATGGCACATATGCAGATAGCCGTGGGGCAGGGGGGTGGGTGCTGCACCAGTGATGTGATGGGCAAAGGAAGCAAGTACCTAACAATTCTCATGTATGCCTCTTGTTAAATGAAGGCCAATCACAATGAGGAAAAACATCAGTGGTATTAAAATGTAAGTCATAAGGGAAAATAATTCATCAAAGTGAAGAGTGTCTGTCTTCTAGCTGCCTTTGGATATTTCAAACCCATCCAGGTTGAGTCCCTTCCAATGGGTCCCAACCTGGTGATTCAGCTTAGTCCTTCTGGGTGAAAGGACCAGAGTCGCACTGAGACCTTGAGAAAAAGAGGTTTTGCTGTGAGATACATCCACAGGAGTGGGAATGGGAGCAGGAATGGGAAACATCGGAATGAATGGGAACAAGAAACCTAGGGATTTATTTAGGGACCACATCCTTTCTCTTGTGGGTCTCGAGATCTGCCTGGTCTCTTTCTCACATGCTCTCGCTCCTCTCCATCTGCCTTACTCACTGCCAATTCTGACAGCCTTATTCTTTACCCCGGTGCTACCCATCTTTAGCCAGCTTCTGCTCCCTCACAACTCCTCCAACACCCCTTCTGCTTCAACACTCCCGCTGTTGTTTCCTTGCTATTTCCTAGTTCACACTTCTCAGGGACAGAGCATCTGATCTGCTTTGCTTATCTATTTGTACCTGTAAGTTAGCTGTGTGTTATTCAGTTGTCCAATTGCGGACGAACCAGTGGTAGCTGGGGAAGATATAAAACATGACCACCTAGAGCTAGCTTTCCTCAAGGATTCTGGACCCAGTGGGAAATGGTGCCATAATCGATTAGTGATGTCTGCCACATCTCTAAGTTCTTTAAAAGCAAGGTAAGGTCTTCTTCATGTGTTTACCTCAAGTGCAGAGCTTCCCACATCGTACTGTGACTATTCACTGATCTCCCTCAGAAGACTGGAGCCCCTCGAGGGCTGTCACCATGTTGGATTCATTTCTAATTCCCAATGCGTAGCATTGGTACGGGCACAAAGCAAGTGATCAGTAAGTTGTTTGTTTTTATTTTTGTTTTTTTAATTTATTTATTTTTATTTTTTTAAAGATTTTATTTATTTACTTGAGAGAGAGAGAGCACATGAGAGGGGGGAGGGTCAGAGGGAGAAACAGAGTCCCCGCTGAGCAGGGAGCCCGATGCGGGACTCGATCCTGGGACTCCAGGATCATGACCTGAGCCAAAGGCAGTCGCTTAACCGACTGAGCCACCCAGGCGCCCCTCAGTAAGTTATTTGTTAAATGAGTATCCTTCTTCCCTATGTATACCTCCCTGCTTTCCAGCTCTTTTGCTAACATTCTACACATAACACAGGTAAGATCTGAAATATAATGTTTCTATTTTAATATGTATTTTCTGGCTTGGAACATCCTACCCATTAACAAAGGCCAATTCAACTGTCATCTCTTCCGTGAAACCTTCCCAGATTCCCTCAGCAGATCTCACTGTTCTGTCCTTTGTGTGTCTGTACCACTTGCTAGTACCACTATTTCAGACATATTTTCATCCTGCCTTATATTTAGTTAGTCATTCACAGGCTCTCAGCCAGGAGACAGTAAGCTTTCTTAAGCCGAGGGAATGCGCCTCATTTATGTTTATATTCTCCCCAGCACCAGCAGTAGTAGTACTAAACATTTGTTGAATTGAATATCCACTGGAAGCAAACTTTGTATGAGTTTTCCAATAGCATGACTGGATTTGTACACATCTACCCACACTCCTTTTTGACCACTTGAATACATTTATGATAGAGCTGGTCAAAGCCAGAGGTGCAGTCTGAGGCCATTAAACAAAGAGAAAACTAACAGTCCCATATGGGGACATACCCCTGACCTGGATCTCATTAGCACCATCTGACAACCAACTGGGCCAACCAGCCAGTGTTTCATAACTCTTAATGATACAGGCTCACTTTGAGAACCAGGCTCATTTTTTTTTAATGACATAATAGGAAAATGATCACAGGCCATGAGGTAGGAAGGAGAGTGGATAATGAGGAAGGGGAAGTAAGAGAATGACACCACAGGGGACGTTCATATGAGGAAAGATCTAAAGGACAGGGAAGAACAAAGAAGATCCGGAAGGGAGAAAAAGTACAGGGGAATGGAGCATGGGTCTCAAAAGTGGAGTTTTTATTCATCTACCCCATTATTCCAAGAACAAGGAAACAATCCATACATCTAGAAAGCAAGACCTGCATAGAGTAATAAAGAGACGCACCTTTTGGCTGTGTGTGTATATTCTTCATCTGTGGCTTTTACTACCAAAGGATATGATCACAACAAATAGCACGGAAACATTTTTTCCCACAGAAATATAATGCGTGAATTTGCAAAAACACATGCTAGGATTAAACTGTAAAGGCTTTTTAGTCATTGGGCCTGTAACTTACCCAGTGGTTTACTCCTGCCTGATAAAGTACATTTCTGGAGATCTGAGGTCTGATTTGAATGCACTCAATGCTGGTTACTGTCAAAGACCAGATACTGGATGAGATGGTGCACTGATTTACCCTAATATGGAAATGTTTCAGATGATGATAGGTGCTAGGAGTTAACCTTATATAAAAGTGTTTATATTTATATTCCCTGACGTACCAAACTGATAAAAGTCCTGTCAAATGCTGTTTATGCAAGGAAAACAGATTGATTTTTTTTTTTTTTTGGTCAAGGAAGGTGGTAAGGAATGTGCGTCTTACCATCAAGGAAGATGGTAAGATGCACATTTTTATTTTAAAAATGTATTCTTTGGGAACAAAACCATTCAACTATGCTTAATCTGACATTTTTTCCAATTACATTGGAAAGCACTAACGAATGTATCACTTTTTTAACTTTGCTTTGTAACACTTGAGTGCTTACCACTTGATGTGCCATTTAAAGGATAATTAATGGATAAACTAAAAGGATAATTATTATGGAGTTTAATATAGCAGGCAAACTGCTCATTAATCCTTACAAGCATAGCTTCGTTATTATCGTTTACTTAAAAAGATGCCACGGGGAACTGGTATTTACCACCACATTAACTACATGTTATATACCCACACTCCGTATTTCTGCAACAATTTTGGCTTATTTTAAAAATAAACTTTATGTAAAATATTAAATAGCAAATCTTGTTGGCTAGTCGATACTCTGGAAAATTAGGCTTACAATCTTTACGTTTTTTTCTTTCTTCCAAGGGTTTAAGAGTCATGTTAAAGCTTCCTTTAGGAAAAGTTAAGCAAACTTACAACATATTAATTCAATGAAATATCAAACAGACATTAAAATTACAAATATGAAAAATAAATATATATAGAAAAGGATATACAAAATGACCCTGATATTGATCAAGATGAAAAAACACAAATGTAAGTAGTTGTCAATTTTCTGCAGTTATTTAAATGATCAATAAAAGCATCTTATGGAACATCTGGCATATGATTAGCTCTTAATAAATATGGTATAATCATTAACTTGCCCAATATTCATTTAAAGAGCTGTAATAATTTAACAAACAGGAAAATGCACCAAAATGTTAACAAGATTATGTCTAGCGGTAGGTTCAATGGTGATTTTGCTTTTCCTTTCTATATTTTCTCATTTTCTAGCGTAAGTTTGTATTAAAAAACCCAAAACTTTATTTTTAAAAAGTAAATAACATACCATAAGTCCATTTACCTTTCTTGTGTAGATGCCTAATTGAGACAGAAAGGTTAAAATATTTTTTCAGAGAATGCAGTGACAGTTCTAGCACTTAAACCTAGACTTTTGAAATTGTTTCTTTTGTTAATAATATTAAATTATTTTTTAAGGATACTTTAATAGGGATACCTGAAGAGGAAAAACTATGGATGTTATGTCTGATTTTTCTAGAATATTAACTGACCTATAAGATTTGTTTATGATGATTAATATCATTGTTAATGAGCAAAAATCCTTCTTCTAGCACGTGTACCTCAAACCACTAACGTGAACTGTGAGCTGTGAAGACGACAGAGATTATGTCTAGCCAACTGATTACGCGCCTTGGAACTAAAGGTATGAGCACTGACAAAAAATGGGGGAGTAGAGTCTTTCCAACAGACACCTATTTATTTTGCCACTGATATTCCATAGTACAATCCAGGCCAGAATTTTTGTTTCGGTGGGAAGGGGAAGAATTTTAAACAGGAAGGAACCACACTCATTAAGTCACTTCTAATCACCACATACTCTACTATTCCTTTGTATAACTGTTTCATTTAATCTTTCCAATAATTACAGGTGGTAGGAATTATAATGCTCATTTTACAGATAAAAAAATCAAGTCTCAGAAATGTTCAGGGATTTACCTAAAGTGACAAAACCAGTACATACTAGAGCCAGGGTTTTAATCCAGGTCTTGCTCCAAAGCCTGCAATCTTTCTATAATACTATCTCCCAGAATACTTACAAATCCAGAATGCTTAAAGAAAACCCAGTTAGAATAAAGCTAGAGCACTAAGACTACGGAAGATTTATGAAAATGTGAGGCTCATTTGACTGAGAGAATCACATTCCAACCAGGACATTACCTCTAATTCCAGGGCTTCTGAGAGTAACTTCTGGGCATTTTTCCTGAATGTTTCAGTTTTGGGGTCACTTCGCACTTCAATAGAAGGTCTGTCTAAATGTTTTTCAATGAAAGTTCTCCACTCAGTGTAAACTTCTCTGGCAAGACAAGCCACTTCTGGATCTGAGTGCTGACGCATCTTGTTCACAGTGTGACCTGGAAGAAGAAAGGAGAAACCAAGGGAAAGGTGGTTCTGTTTTCTTTTGAAAAGTACAGGACTAGACAGGCTGACATGTGGCATGTAGAAAGTCATTCACATACCTAAGAATATAAAGGTAAAGGCTCTTGTGCAAATGAAGACCCATTTCTCAAAGGCTGAGAAAACCAGATAACCATAGCAGGAGAATCACTGGACTAGCCAATGCAATAGGTCATAAAACAGAAGTACGATCAATAGATACTTAAAATGGAACAATTAAAGTACCAACTCCTTCGTTCAAAAATTGCAATAAGAGAAAATGAATTAAGCATTTATCTTGTCTTTTTGGTACATATTATATTTCAGAACAACCAAATAGCCCTACGTATTGAGGGAATGTTCTTTATTCAGCTAATAAGTGTGAAAAGATTGACAGAATTTTTAAACATTTCATAGCCTATGATGAAATAATTCATTTGGGTGACAAGCATCAGTGGATGAACTCATTCAATGAAAGGTTGATGGAGAAATTTATAATGGAGGGATGAGCTGTCATCACCTGAACCACTAATAAATCTTAGCACCCGTAAGAGTGGGACTCTCAGACAGAGGTGGCACTTCACAGCCCTACCTAGGCATAGTCTTGCAACCCTCCTCCCAGAGAAAACGAGGAACCAGAACCCAACCATTTAAAGCTAACCTCCGGTTTGTAGAAAATATGAGACAGAGGAATGAGTTAAATTATAGTATGAGGAAAAAGACACAGCCAGAATGTGAGACATTCTGTAGGACCACAGACCTGATTTCTTCAATAGTCATTGGCATTTTTTAAAAAAATTTATTTTATAATTAAGTTTTTATTTGAGTGTAGTTGACACACAATGTTACATCAGTTTCAGGTGTATAACAGTGATTCGACAAGTTTTTACATTATGCTATGCTCACAAGTGTAGCTACCATCTGTCACCGTACAACACTATGACAATCCCAATCACTATATTCCTTCTGCTGTGTCTTTTATTTCTGTGACTTATTCCTTCCATAACGGAAGCCTGTATCTCCCTCTTCCCTTCACCCATTTTGCCCAGCCCCCACTCCCCTTCCCTCTGGCAGCCCTCGGTTTATACTCTTGTGTTTACAGATCTGATTCTGTTTTTCATTTGTTGATGGCTTTTTTTTTTTTTTTTTTAAAGGGAGTAAGGTTATGGACCGCTATAGATTAAGAGTCTTTGGAGTTCAAACTACCAAATGTGATGTGTGATTCCAATCCTCACTGCAACAAATCAACCATTAAGAGAGATTTTGAGATACACAAGGAATATGAATTTACACTAGATATTAAATTATACCAAGAAATTACTGTTTGTTAAGAATGATAATGGCACTGTTATGTAAGAAAATACCTGTATTTTTAGAGATGCACACTGAAGTATGCAGAGCTGAAATAATAAGGTCTGGGATTCTGCTTTAAAATACTTAAGCAACAGCACAAAAACACAAGACTGGAAATAAAGTAAGTGGGGCCAAATCTTAATAGCTACTGAATCTGGGTGAAGCATATGGGGGTGTGTTCTATTATTTTCTTTATTTTTATGTATGTTTGAGATTTGCATAATAAAAATGGAAAAAGAGGAAAAGGATCAAATACATCAATATGCAAAAGTACTTAGACAAAAACAATTACATAGAAAAGCCAAAGAAATCAACTAAACACTTAGAATTAAAAACTTAAAAAGTAGAGAAGTATTAGATATATTTAAAAAAAAAATCAATAGCTTCCTTATGTCTGCAATAACCAGTCTGAATACAGTAGGGAAAAATCCTGCTTACATGAGTAAAAACCATAAACCACTTAACAATACATTAACATGTATGTTAATGTTAAGTAACATTTGGGCATGTTGCCTCCAGTTGACTCCCAACAGCCCTGACTGGCCTCTCTGCCTAAGTTTGGAACCCTTTAATGGCATCTCCCACAGTGCAGCCAGAGTGGCCTTTTTAAAACTTAATTATTTCCTGTTTTAGAGATATTTTTTCTAAAACATAAATCTGACCATTTCACGCCTCCATGTAAATCTTTCAGTGCTGTACCCAAACTCGTATCTTATCACACAAGTCCCTTCACAATCTGTCCCCTCCCACCTACTTTCCAGTGAACCTTCTGTCTGCCTAGAACACCCTTGCTTCCCTTTTTATCTGGTTAGTTTCCATTCTGCCTTTAAGACTCAGTCTAGGAGTCCCCTACTCTAGCGACTCCTCCTTAATAGCCCCTGTCTTGGGTCGGTGCCTCTCCTCCTCCTCCTCTGTGCTTCCTCAGCACCCTGTGCTTCTGTCCCTTACAACAGTTGTTATAATTAGTTGTAATTATCTGATCAGCTACCTCTCTTGCCCACCAAAGAGAGCTGGAGGGCAAGAGCTGTGATATGTTCATCTTTGTCTCTCCAGCAGAGAACACAGTGGCAGGAGGTAGGGCTTGGGAGAGTGGGTGTGCAGTAAATGTTGGTGGAATCAGAGACCCATATGAAGAATAACATCTTTTTACCAAAGTATAGGAGGAAATGCAGATGAAAGGTGAAAATGTACCGTAAGATAGAAAGATTAGTACAAAGAGATTCGAGTAAGACACAGTCCCTGGGATTTGACGTATACTCACCCTGCCAAAGGGTGCAGAGAAATGTGTACAAAAATACCTTACAGTACTGTTTGTGAGAGTGAAAAGCAAGAAACAATTAGAAGTCCATCATTAAGTGTCCAATTGGTTAAATAAATTACAGTTCACTTGAACAATGACTACTTCGCAGCCATAAAAGACTGGAATAGCTCTACATGTAGTAACATGGAAAGATGATTACTTTATTCAGGTTCTCCAAAGAGCACGCACAGAATGAGCCAATATTTACTTTTAAAATTATATTTGTGTATACATATAAGCACATATATTTGTTTATATGCAGAGAGAAAAGTCTAAAGAATTTATAATGAAATTATTAACTGGGGTCTCCTCTGAGTAGTAGGACTGCACGCATCTGTGCAGCTCAGCTCCGTCGCATGGACTGGCTCAACCTGTAAGCAATCCTAACAGCACGGGCTGTGCTGTAACAGAGGTGCATTCAGATTTTTCCAAATACAGATCCTTCCCTTCCATGCGTTCCCCTTCTTAGCCTTTTCTCTCTCCAAGAAAGACACTGTTGATCCAGCCTTATATGTGAGAAATGAAGATGTGGAAGTCCCTCCAACAGAGTCCTTCTGCTGTCAAATCCAATGGATCTTCTCCATCCTGATGTTACTTGTTCCCTCTGTGACCTCTGATGCTGCTTTGTCTTCCGAAATACTCTCTTCCACCGCTTTTTGGGACACCACCTGTTACTGTTCTTTCTCTCTCTTCTGCTGGCTGCATATATCTTACCTAACCTTTAATTATTGGTGAACCTGAGCTGGGGGGTGTTGTCCTTGGCCTCTTCTCTTCCTTCTCCACCTGCTCTCCCTGAGTAATCTTACCCATTCCTGTGGTCCAGCTACCATCTGCAAGCAGATGACTCCTAAATATATATCTCTAGCCCAAAGGCTCTCACTGAGCACAAGACCCAAACATCCAGTCCCCTAGTGGACACCTCCACCTGCTTCTTTTGCAAGTACCTCAACGCTTTTTTAAAAATTTATTTAAATTCAATTAATTGGGGCGCCTGGGTGGCTCAGGCGTTAAGCGTCTGCCTTCAGCTCAGGACATGATCCCAGGGTCCTGGGATCGAGCCCCGCATCGGGCTCCCCGCTCAGCGGGAAGCCTGCTTCTCCCTCTCCCGCTCCCCCTGCTTGTGTTCCCTCTCTCGCTGTGTCTCTCTCTGTCAAATAAATAAATAAAATCTTTAAAAAAAAAAATTAAAAAAAAAATAAATTCAATTAATTAACATATAGTATATTGTTTCAGAAGTAGAGTTCAGTGATTCATCAGTTGTATACAACACACAGTGCTCATTACATCATGTGCCCTCCTGAATGCCCATCACCGTTACCCAACCCCCAATCTGAAGCAACCCTCAGTTTGTTTCCTATGATTAAGTAACTCAACACTTCTAAAATGGGGAATGGAACTCATTATTCTCCCCCTCAGTCTCTCCTCCTGTACTTCTTGTCACACAGTGGCACCACCATTCACCCATCATTTCAGGGTCTTTAACATTTTTTATATCTTTCCCTTTTCCTCCTCACCTCCCTTTCCTCCTCACTGCCAACCTAATTCAGGTCCTCACCACCTCTCTGCAGGTTTACTGCAGAGACGTACTAACCAATCTTCATCGCCAGTCCAGCCTTCTCCAACTCATCCTTATTACTCAAGTCAAAATAACCTTTGAAAAACACAATTTGAGGCATGCCTGTGTGGCTCAGTAGTTAAGCATCTGCCTCTTGGTTTTGGCTCAGGTCATGATCCCAGGGCCCTGAGATTGAGCTGGCATCAGGCTCCATGCTCAGCGGGGAGTCTGCTTGAAGATTCTCTCCCTCTGCTCCTCCTCCGACTCTCTCTCTCTCTCTCTCAAATAAATAAATCTTCAAACACAATTTGATCTCATTACCCCCTTAGCAAAAGCCCTTCAAGGGCTCTCTCCACTGCCCTCAAATAAGTATAACATTCAAGCTCTCAATAACCTGGAAGCTCTTTGGGCTTACCTCTCACCTTGTTACCTCCTTTCTTCCCTCTGGTCACCCGCAGCCCTTCTGCCCCTTTGCCTTCGTGGACTAAGTTCTAGTCATGGAGAGCAACTTGCAGGCCCTTGTTTCAGGTCAGGCTGTCTGAACTTCCTACATTTCTGTGCCTTAGCTCACACTGTTCCCTCTGCCTAGAATGTTTAAATGCCCACCTGACCCTCTAAACTATAAACATCCTGAGGGCAGAACCCCATACCTTACTCCCAAGTTACAGTCCTAGCTCCTGGTGGTGCCTAGCACAGAACAATCAATAAATGTTTGCTGAACTGAATCAAACAGTTAAATAAAAACCATTTACATTTGGCTTTCAAATTGC